CACACAAAATTTTTTTTTAAAAACATTTACCGGAGGTTAATTCAACCCAGGTTTACAGCTTTTTCAAATACCCACTTCACTGGTAAATAATTAAAAAAATTGCTAATTGGTCATTCGAATTGTTAAATATAATAACTAAAGGCTGATAGCTGTTAATTGCAGTCATCTACAGCATATTTTTTCTTATGAATTAATTTTGATTAGAATAATACATAATTAATTATAATTTCCTATGATAACACTCTAGTGTACTTTATTTCAATAGTTTCTTAGCTTGTTTTTCTTTGTATGTATGTATGCATTTCAGGATCAGTGCTTCTTAAAGAAATGAAGGAACTCCTCTGTAAAACATATTCACCTGCTAGTTTTTGGTTTTAGTGATTGTTTTTTTTTTTACTCAGTATTTACAATTAAAACCTTTTTCAAGGAAATAAAAGAAAAGTGATAATCCATATCTGTACAGTGGTTTACATTTTAACTGGAAGACCTCATATTTTGTCATTTAGAAAATCTTTAATAGCTTGAAAAGGTAAATAGATTTTTTTTTTGGCTAATTGTGTTTCTTATCTGAACTGAGCCATTTGTCAATTGTTTGCTCATTCACAAATGACGCCATCATTTTATCAATTGCTGAATAACTAGACTAAAGAGCTCATCTGGTGTCCATCTTATCCATTTTATTTTCTAAACTATTTTCCATATTGGAGCGGCGCTAAAATCCCCTCTTAGGCAAAAGAAAGAAGGAACACTATCTGTTGTCTCTAAAAACTTCAGGCAGAGAGAGAGAGAGAGAAAGTGCCAGAAAGATTATAGCTGCCAAAATACTTATATGGTGTCATCAGCCATTCATGTGGTTGAGTCTTGAACTTCACTTCTAAGAGATTCTGATGGATATTTTAAGAGCAAACTGTTCTCACCCTGCCTTACAGGGAAATGGGGAAACAATTATATACAGCAAGTTATTATTTTTATAGGACATTTTCTACATTGATGTAAATGCTACAGGTTTTTCATAAAACCATATTTTTCCTTAAAACTGCTGAATGTCTCATGCAAAACAGCAAAACATGAAAGCATATATTGAGTTCAGTAGCAGTAAACTACTGTAACATTTTATCTAGAACTCAATTACTTCTGCATCTATCAATGGCAGCTATGCTTGGCCCTAAAGCATCAACAGCACCGTTGTTTGTGTAGCAGGATTGCATTTTTGATTTACCTGTATCCTTAGCTGTTGCTCCTGTGCCATAGGAACGTGTTCCAGAGTGAATCTAGTTGCTGTGAGGCAGTTGTAGTAGAAACTCACTGTACTCTGCTAAAGGTCAGAGTTCCTGTGAACAAGCTGTTTGACTGTGAAACAGCAGTAGCTGCTGGCAGTGTGACAAGCCAGGATTTGAGCAGAACTTTTGGTGGATTAGACCTTCAGAATGCGAGAGAGTGGGGGGTGGAAACTTACCTTACTTAAAGTGTGTGATTCTCAAGTGATGAGATATTCAGGTTTGCTGAACAAACCAGTTAGTCTGAATCTAAACCGAATTGCGATGTAAATGTTTTTGTAATTGTGGCGTACATTTTTCTGGTGCATAATGCTATAATGTGCTCTCAAACGCTTCCACATTAAACTGTGTCTGTGATATGTGAAATATGACACATATTGAAAATACGTCATTTTGAAAAAATATTGATTTATCAGTTCCTTCTAAAATTATAAACATAACATTGTCCTGATAGTTAAGCATGAATTTCAAAATATATATTACAGTTACTAATAACATACTTAGACAGAATTAAATTAAATCGATTCTAATTGAACTATATATTAAGCAGATACAAAATGTCGTCTAGTACTTTTCTCCGTAAAAATTATGTACAGTTTTGTTTTGCTGATTAATTATAAACACGTTTTACTTTGTTGAGTCAGCTCATTTTCATCTGTGTGCTCTCCATTGATCTAATTCTCAAAACATATAACAAACTGTCATGGTAACATTACCATGATTATTCATGTTTATTTAACATAATCCTTGTGTTTATGGTGAAAGTGTGTTACTGACAGCTTCTGAAGCAAAAATTTAAAGACTGCTTTGAAGTTAGTTGGATGCAGCTGTAATAGAATAACAGGATTTCTCATCAATGAAATGTGCTGAAACTGCCATGTCATGTTTGATGTCCACGGATAGAGACACTAATTAGAGGCCGACCACATAAGGGCTTCTTAAATATAAATAAAGCTAGTATTCCATTTAAATGAATGGGTAGTAGTTTTAATCAGGGAAATTTAGTTTTTTGTCTCTTTGTCTAATTTTACTTGATTTTTGTTGGGTTTAAACAGACAGCCACATGAGACTGCTTCATAGTTAACTTAACTTTACTGGTTCATTTGTAAACATTTCTATACTCTCTCCAGTTTCTAAGACATATTATGATTCCCCTTAGAAAAACCTGGAACCTGTACAGAAATAACCCTTTAAAGTGAGATAATTTAATGTATAGTTAGTAATATCAAATTTGTGTAAACATAAAGGCTTTGTACTCCCAACTATGTCACTGCCTTACAACTGCATTTATCAGGTTTTGTAAGAAATAAAACCACAGACATTAAATAAGTTTATTGATATTTTATGCATTAGACCTACACCAACAAATGCATAATTGTGAAGTGCTTTTCAAAATGTTGGTTTGGTTTACATATACAGTAGCCCTTCTTAGTCAATACTTTGTAAAACACAGTTTGCAGTAATTACAGCTTTCAGGTATCTGTGTGCGGCCATTCTAGTTATGAAGATCTTAAACAGTCTTAAATTCTTCTTCTCTGCAATCCAGCTGAAGCTCAATCTGACTGAGCTCAACCTAATATGATTCTTTCTATTTAAACATAGATTTTCAATCCTTTTCAGCTACACTTTAGGTCTTTCATGCAAGTAAATGTTAGTTTAGACATATGCTTAGAGTTATTTTCCAGCTAAAATATAAACTTTTTTCTTTATCATCTACTAGTTAGAGGACATATTGGTAGTTTTATAAACCACAAATAAAAATCACAAAAAAGAATCTATCACAACTAAAACTGTCATGCACAGATCCAGTTATTTTCTCACTTTGCTGTAAAAGTTGTTTGGCAACCTTCCCTGTGCTGTCTAACAACCACAGGTCTGTCTTAAAGCTCTCTCTGGTTGCTTTCCCCTGCCCCTTCCTCCAAACTTATTGACTTTGCCCATTTTTGGGGTTTGGAAGAAAAGAAAGGAAGGGTCTCTCTTCCCTGAACCATCATCCCTTGCACCAGAAGAAACTGCAAGAAGGCAGGTTGAGTAAAAATATCCAGTTGAATGAGATAAAAGCTCTAGTTTAAACTTAGATTTGAAATTTCATGAAATATCATCTAAAATGCTAAACTTTTCACTAATCAGTTGCTAAATTTATAAAAGAACTGCAACAATTGCACTCTTTTACCTAAATGCCCTATGACTGAAGTGGGAAAACTGTGCCAGAGTTCACAGTGACGGGACGCAGACCATAGCAGAGACGAGGAACTGAAGGCAAGTCCTCATTAGTGAGGTCTTTCTAAATGCAAAATGGACTCACTGTTTCACACACAGGGAAGCACTTGCATCACGGCAGCTCTGACCAGAGCTACATGAGGTTTTAACTGACATCATCATCAGCATTGTCAACTTCATTCAAACAAGATCACTGAAGGCAAGACTCTTCTATGCTCTCTGGTAAGACATGACTGTAGAGGAATAATGCTGTGTTGTTTAAACAGTGAAGCAGAATGAGTGTCCTGAGGTAAAGTTGTATTCAGAATGAATGAATTAAAAGTTTAAATTAGAATTTTATTTATTAATTTTTTTTTTTTAGCAAGAGCACATGAATAAAAGTTCAACTACTGAAAACTCTCTATATACCTGAGTGAGGAATCCAGTCATTGCAACAGCTCCAGCAGATTGACCTATCTTCTAGCTCCACTCATTGGACAAATTAAGTTTAATCTTTTAGATTTAGTTTGTAGTTTTCATTGTTTTATAAGTGTCGTTATTGATGTATTGATTTATAATGCATTATATGTAATATTAATCTTTATTACCATTGTTATTCATAATATATATTTTTTAATTATAGTGTTTAAATCCAAGGTTTAGAAATTATTATTATTATTATTTTTACACTACACACAAATCTTGCCAATCAAAATGAGGTGGACCAAACCTGTTTGCTCTCATCCTAACACTTCCTGTTTTCCTGTTAACTTTTATTCCTGTGTCCGTCAGTGGTGTTCTGCATAATTGGGTCACTCTTCAAGTACCCATCATGACACTTCCACTTAGTGCACGGGCAATGTTTTTTTATTTTAATTTTTATATAGATAGTTTAGTGTGTCTTATGTGGAATCTTTAAAGATAAGGCCTTCAGGGTACAAACAGTGTATACCAGAGCCGGCCCGAGCCTCTTGGGGGCCCTAAGCAGAATTTGATTTGGGGGCCCCCCCTCCTACCATGCAGAATCACCTATACTAGAAGATTACTGACACAAATGTCACACTATAATGTTATAGGGAATATTAAAAATGAATAGACTATGGTAATGTATTAATACAAAATAAATAAACAATACTTACAATACTTTGTTTTATTAAACCTTTTGAATACAAACATTAAATAAATTATTTGCAAATGTGCATTAAATGTGCAATATTTTAAATAAAACCAATATAGACAAACATTAATATCAAAAATAATTTGCAGTAAACATCATCACTTTTCTTTGAATAAATTAGCCAGCTTCGCTTGATTTTTTCCCCATTAACTAATTGTCTGTATGTATAGTGGTAGTGAAAGCTTCATCCATCTGATCTCTTGGGGAATGTAGAGGTGTCACTGATTGGCGCTGGCCCTCTTCTTACCAGATCAGTCCTTTCTGAATCTGAGAGGAATGCTGACCATTCAACTGGGTCAATTGGAGGAGCTGTTGATCCATCTTGATAGCTGGAGCTTGTTGAGGCAGTGGGAAATCTATAGCAGTGGGTGCAGATGTAGAAGGACCTGTAGGGACAATAGATTAAATACAAAAGAATAAAATACCATAGCAGAAATTTTTATTGTAAAGCCAACACAAAACAAAAACTTAGATTAACAGACCTGTCATGCCGGCTGAGTTTGAAACCAGTGGATCAGTAAATGTAGGTGCTTGTAACTGCTCCTCGCTTTCAGTCACATGTAAGTGCTCCTCCCTTGTTGTCGCTTGTGCAGTGGATGAACCTGCAATGATAAAACAAACAAAGAAAAAATAAAGAAATAAATAAAAAGCTAAATGTTTCATGTCATATTAACAGGCTATGTAACCATTTGCCATCAAGAAAACCCTCACCTGCTGCATCATCAGCTGTGGAGGCACTGACACTCGAAACAGTAGGGGCAGGTTTGGTTGTTCTCAGAAAGTACTTGAACAGTGTTCCTGGGAAAAATAGCATTGCATAATGCATAGTTTTTATTTATTTATTTATTTCGAACAGACAGTAAAAACAATCAAGAAAGAAAAAATTTGAATGAAACAAACTTAAGAATGAAAATATAAAACAAATTATTTTGCCCATGTGACATGCAAATTTTATATTTTCTGTTCGAAAAGGAGCAGGTAGAAGATACATCTTATAATGTCCCGCCCCTTTCCTACTTGTCAATTTATCATCAATTAACTGTCAAAACATCAAAAAAATCAAAAAAACACTTGTTTCCATTCCGCATGATGTTTAGCCATGTACAATTATTTTAAGTACTATTTATGTCATCAATTACATTATAGACTATTAAACTGTCATCGTATATAGTGTATTTTGAAATGAGCTCGGTTTTAATCAGTTTTTTTAATTGGTTTGCATTTATAATTTTTTTAAACTCGTCATTCAATCCATTCCAGACATTTATCTCCACACACAGATAAACAAAAACTCTTCCTGTTTGTTCTAAAGTGTTGTTTTTTAAAGTATCCTTCACCTCTTAGATCATAACCCCCCCTCTCTGACACCAAACATTTCCTGTATATTGTGTGGAAGTTTTTGATTTCGGACCTTAAACATTAATTGTGAAGTTCTAAATATGACCAGGTCCCAGAATTTCAGTAAATTTGATTTGATAAATAACTGGTTTGTGTGTTCCCAGTATCCCACTTTATGAAATATTCGGATTGATTTTTTTTTTGTAAAACGTATAATGGCTGTAAATTTGTTTTGTATGTATTCCCCCAAACTTCCACACAATATGTTAAATGTGGTACAATAAGTGTGTTGTACAAAATAAACAAAGATTTGTAGTCCAGGACGAAACTAATTCTTATAACAGCAACACTTTTGGTTATTTTAGATTTTACTAGGCTGATCTGAGGTTTCCAGCTAAACTTATCGTCTAATATGACACCCAAGAATTTTATTTCATGTACTTGTTCTAAATCAACACTTTCAATTGATATTTTAATTGGATTATTTTCCTGTTTTTTGTTGTATCATGAATTTGGTTTTATCTAAATTTACTGATAATTTATTGTAGAATGAGTTTATTTTCCCATCTTGCACTACAAGAAACTCCACACCTCACCTAACAATTCATATTCTATTGGCAAATGAGGCATAATTGCCATATGGTAAAAATGTAACATTGTGATCTACTGCAGCCTAAATATGAGGAAAGCACAATGTTAATAAAACTGCACTCTATTTTCATTTTTGGTATATTTTCTAATAAAGATAAAATACCATCTCTCACCAAAGATCTTAGAGCAGAGAGCGCATGTGCTTTGTCTATTAAGTTAGTAGATTCATTTTAACACAAACAACAATGCTAGCAAAGCTGGCTGCTGGCATCTGTGTTTTCTCCAACTTAAACCGATATCTATCCATCCAACCATTATCTTCCGCCTATACGGGTTGGGTCGCGGGAGTAGCAGCTTCAATAGCGAGGCCCAGACGTCCCTCCCCTCCGGGGGAATCCCAAGCAGGCGTTCCCAGGCCAGGCCAGCTGAGAAACATAGTCCTTCCAGCATGTGCTGGATCTCCTACGCCGATATGTATCAACACATAAAATACACACCTACCTAAATAAATGTATATTAATAATGGGTAATATTTCACTGTTAATGGTGATGGATGGCTGATAAATATCACGACATGAGTTATGATGACGAGCTAGCTGTGCTGCTGCTGCACAAAATATAGCGGTCAGTAAATAATCATGCAAACATACCTTTATCTTGCTCTTTTTTCTCTTCCTCTTTCCTTTTCTTATTTCGGCACCAGAGGGATAAATCCTTTTTTGTGACATGGCTTAGACTTTCTTATTAACAGGTGCGCGCCAGCGTGAATTGTCAATGCAGGCGCGCGCCGCGTACCATGAGCTGTCTGCGGCTGCCGTCGTGAAGTGAATGCACATGAGCAGTTGTTGACAAATCAGAAATTATTTTGTCTTGAATTTTTCATTTATTAATTGGTATTCATCATTTATATCACTTGTTTAAGTTATTTAAATGTAAAAAAAAAAAATAAAAAAAAAAAAAATAAATAAATAAAAATTGACCAGGGCCTGTTCAATCGTTTTTGCTTGGGGCCCCCTGGCCACCAGGGGGCCCTAAGCGGCCGCTTAGTTCGCTTATGCCTCGGGCCGGCCCTGGTGTATACAGAGTTTGGTGGACTGCTGCGATCAGAACCACTTCCTGCTCTGACACTGGTGAAAATCAGAGAAACTGATATTGTTGCAGACCTACCTGCTAAGGAGACAGAGATCATTTGAAGTACAGCAGCTGTTCCTCAATATTCCAACTCCACATTTCTTTCAGTCTACCTATACTTTCTCATGATAACTATACATACATTTGTCTCTTATGCTTCACATTTTCCTCAATACACAGTATCAATCTTTTTTATGTTTTTCTGAATCTGAATTCTTGCATTTGCCTGTCACTTTACTGCTGGTACATCCACATGTCCCCTCTGAAGGACAATAAAAGATATTCTGTTGTTAATTCTAAAGGATATAGAATTATAATTTGCACAAGAATATAGCACAGGCACTCGACGAGCCCACACAATAGTGCAGAGTGTGACTTGTTGCTGTCCAAAGCTGTTTACAGTTGGTCCTCAAGCTTGCATGTCACATTTTGCATGAGTTGCATTAGCTTTTGACGTAGAGCGCACATTTTTGGAAAGCCTTAGGCATCTCTTTAATTTGGATATTGACCCAGATTGGAGCTGAATATATAACTTAAAATGAAAACTGTAAGACAATCTTTTTTCCCACAGTTTACAGTTTAACAAACACTCCTGTAGCTGTAGCATTTGAACTCCACTCTAGTAAAGCTATTAAAAAACTCTTTATTGAAAAAAATAAATTAGGGGGATAGTCTGCTCATCCATATCAAATACAGTACCAATGTAATGTACCTTTCTCTGTTTATCTTTTTTACTGTTATGCATTTTCATATACAACACTAAATTAACTTGCTCCTTAAATTTTCTGCATAAAAAAACTTCCCTGGCTAGAAGATTCAATCATACACCACTAAATGCTCTGTAAAAAACAAAGACTTTGATTTTCATATAGACTCTGGTTTGTAAGATTTAAGGAACAAGATCTAACCAGGTGGACAGCAGCGTAGGACACCGTAGAATGTTGTAATATCACTGTTCCTTTTTCACTTGTACAACTCTTCCATCAAAAGTAAGGCTTTTATCATTTGCAGAGATAGTCTATGCTGAAAGTGGGATATTTTCTGCCATAATATATTAGTGTAGCAGAATCAAAGCTAGACACTTAAAAAGCCTTCAACAAGGTGATAGAGAAGGTTAGTTTTATTCTAAAGATTGCAGTGTAACCCCTGTAGACTGTGCAAAAAATGCATTTTTATGGTCAACCCCATGAATCCTCTTCATAAGTCTGCATTATATCAAAGGAGGGTGTTTTGTCAGAGGCGTCTTCAGATACAGGAGATTATTCCCACTCATAGCCAATATCAACAACAACAACAAATCTGGAGAAATTTCTATAATAAAAGTTACACATTAAATTTCCTTTTGTATTCTTGAATTATATTAATTCATTTCTCTTTTCTACACAGAGGCAGCATTGTATCCTCATGAAATGTTAAAAAAACAGGACTGTATTTAATATGGTATGTATAGTGCACCATTTCTATGCAGACGATTGTCAAATTTATTTGCCAAATGCCAAAAATAGCCACTGTCCCCTGACACCCCTACTCGACTGTCTGGGTGACGTCAAGGCTTGGTTAGAAATTTTCTAAAACTTAATTAGAGCAAGATGATCGTGATGGTGTTTGGCAGTGTCATCTCTGACTTGGGACCTTTCAAGGGTTTTGTATGTTCCAAAGTAGCCAGCCTTGGTGTCACTATATACAGCAACAGTTTTTATTTACTCCATCTTTTATCCAAGGTAAAACAGTTTTTATCTTTTAACCTCTTTAAGCATCTTTTACACTCTTTTATTTCTAGCCGTCTGGACTACTGCAATGCACTTTGTTCAAGCATTAGCCAACAAGTTCTCTCCTGTACACAGTTAGTCCAAAACACAGCGGCTCGGCTCGTCTTGGAGACCAGAAAACATCAACACATTGCATCAATTCTTGTGTTCTTGTGTCTCCTCACTGGTAATACTGTTAATTTTAGAATAGATTTTAAGATTTTATTGTTTAAGCTTTGAATGGGATGGCTCCTCAATACAGTACCGACCTCCTCCAGATTTATTCTCCGGCACGTGCTCTGAGGTCTAAGGTGCCATCTTCAGCTAATAGTGTCTTACCCCTTGCTCACACTGGCTCCGGTGCGGTTACCGAGCCGACGGAGACCGCAACTCCCGCACACCCCCTCTCACACCGCCCTTTTGACTACGGTGCGGTGCGGCTCTGCGGCTCCGGCAACAGGTCCGGAGATTTAACTCGCGAGAACAGAAGTTCACTTGAGTTCACGTAACTTCACGCGATAACATGGCCCAAATAAGGATATTTGCGAGAGCTTGTTGCGGAGGGCTTCGGCACGCCGCAAGGATAGCTTTCTTGCTGAATTTTCTGCAGCGCCGGAGTGTCTCGGTAACCGCAGCCGGACAGCTCAGCAGCCGGTGAGAGAGGTTTACTTCTTTTTAATGACTTGGAATCACTGCGGCACCGCACCCACCGCACCGCAACGGTAAGACCGGAGTCGGTGTGAGCCGGGGGTAAAGGGCAGATTATGCTTCTGCAACCGCACACATCAAATGTTGCTTGGGTCTGGTCACGAACCAATTTTTGCTGGTAACCTTCTGCACCTTCGGCCTGGAATTTCTAGGGACGCACAGCAGTTTCCCGCAAAAGCGCAAGGGCGAGCCTATTCAGGAACTCGCGAGAACTTCAGCGGATGGTCACCAGAACTTCGGCAGCGCAGGCTGGAGTGT